AATGCTGTTTGGAAATCTGACAAGACTACTGGGTATTCTAATGCCAACATTAACTTGGTGGAGACTAATGATGCTCAGAAACTGGTGAATCCTACTGTGTCGATGCAAAATAAGAAGCAAGACAAGGGTCACCAGAAGACGGTAGTTACTACCCAACAGAGTAAGACTCCATCCTCTGAGTCACTCTCGAAGCCTGTATGTTTAAGATGTGGAAAGGCTGGTCACATCTCTTCAATGTGCACTGCAGACTATGTTATGAAGTCTAATAGGTGTTTTAACTGTGGTAAGGAAGGTCATCGTGCTGCTTCCTGCCCTGTGTCAAGAAGTTCATTGAAGTGTAAGCGATGTGGCCAGGGTGGGCATGTATCTTGGCTCTGTCGTAAGTCGTGGTCTCTTATTGCATCTATGAAAAATTCTATGGATAGTGGGAAATCTACTGGGTCTGATGTTCAACAACCTCGACAACCGCTGGGTGACTATACTACAAAGATGGTTTATGAAGTTGCTACTCCAGCTACGGAAGTTGATTCTCCTGTAGAGGGGGGTGGTGATGATGAAACCCCTATTGAGTCGCAAGCTGAGCAAAAGCTATCGACGATATCATGTGAGGTCGAAACTGTGGCTGATATGTCCTTACAAGATGGATTTCTGACTGCTTCTTTTGAAGTCTATACGCCACATAACCTGATTAAGGTTAGAGGGTTATTGGATACTGGTGCGTCGGTGGGGTTTATAAGAGGAGACCTTGCTGAGTCACTAGTGTCTCACGGTGCTGGTAATATAGTGAACACTCCGTCCAAGATCAGGGTTAAGCTGGCAGATGGTACGGAGCGTTATATGGACAAAGCATGGAAGTGCTTTGTGAAGCAGATCTCTAAACAGGGAAATACTGTCTGGAAACTGCTAACGTTTATCCTCATGAATGGTATTGGTAAACCTGGTATCATGATAGGGAGGAACCAGTTTAAGATTCTTGGGTTCGCTGTTACACGATCGATACTGTGTAGCGATGACCAACACTGTGTAGTAGATGATGAGCAAGCTGAAGACATGTCTACACTGGATGAAGATCTATCTGTGTGTTGTCAACATGCTCATATTGCTCCTGAGAAGACG